TATATTAATATTTAAATATTTGGAATTTTATATATATTTAAATATTCAGAATATTTAAAGCTGCAAATGGTGCTGCAACCACCTCTCTCAAAACAGTTTCCATCTCCCATTGTTCTCAACACTTCTCAACTGCCAGCCTGCAGTCACATAATTTCCCTTCTTTTGAGAGAGGAAAAGAAGTAGATCGCACAAAACATAGTTACTGCTTCCGTTTGGCTCCAGTGTCTGAGTGGTACACTACCAGGGTGCTAGCGAGTACAGTACCCTCTGCGAAGATGACTCTTTCCATTTGTTATGTTGTCCAGACAAGAAAAGTAAGGGGAAAGCAATGAAGCAGACTAAAGTGATCTAAAATAGCTGCTTCTAACGCAAACGTCGCCAGAGTACTTCAGAATCAATTACTAAAGATGTATCTCACAGGATAATAATGTATTAGTGTCTCAGAATCTGAATAATTCCAGATTCCCCTATGCTGCCAGTTAACCATTAAAAATTAATATTACCTCCTCTATACTCTGTGTTATTTCTCCAGTCACTCAGGTCTATTTCTGCCGTTCCAGCTATAACCAGTTCCAGTTCTCTTGCATCAAATACAGACACAAGCCTGGCATCAACCACCTGTAAAAGGAAATCAAATGCACAGTAACATTTCTTCATTTATTGTTTTTCGAGTCCTGTAAACAGGCTTGTCTGTTACAAACACATTCATTAGGTAATGTACTGGTTTGCCTCATGAATGAGAAGAATTTATTTATTTATTTATTTATCCAAAGGCAAATAAATGAATAATTCTCCAACTATTTTTTAAGGTGCAGGTCCATTCAGTTTCATTAGAGGATCACAGAGTTCGGGAGAACAGTTTATTAGCAAATAATACTCAGTTATTCCAGGGCAAATTGAGTTCAGTACGTTCCATTTCATTGTCCAAAGTAAAACACATAAGAGACAAATACCTTGAAATATAGTCTACTGTGTTATGCCCAGGATGGCACGTACTCAGACACGATCATCTCAAAGGCCCAAAGAAGCGACAGACTGCTCGCTTTTGCAAGCATTCACTGCTAGTCATACAAATAATGATCAACAGTATTTTCCAGGTTTTCAAAAATATAACCACAGTATTCAAGTCAGTGATTAACAACGAAATTTACAAACATATCGACATCTATAGGGGCACTTCTGATTGCATATGTATCTGCTTTTGGGGACAGTATATTTGGGAAATGTCCATGAGGAGAAAGATATTTTGAAGGGATAAAGAAGTATAGTAAATTTCAGTTTGGGTTTTTTTTTGGTTTTTTTTTTTGGTTTTTTACCTCATAGAAACCACGAACTAGACTTTCTGTTTGTTGTACAACTCCTCTCTCAATTCTCCATTTCACCATTCTTTCTATATATTCTTTCTTGTTCTTCTCAGTGACTGGGATGTTGGCACCTCCTGGCTTTAACTCCCGTTCAGTGATCTTAGAAGAAAATGATAACAAATTATTATAACAACAAAAGGAGTAATTATAATAATTAAAACGTTTAAGTTGAAGTAATTCCTCCATAGCACTAACCAAGGCTGACTGTAACAAATTGGAATATGTGAAATGAGAGCAATTTTTTTTTTCCACAAGATCATATTTAGCACAAAATATGAAGAATAAGCTGGAAAGAAGAAACAATCTTTATAGAGATTAAAGTAGTGAACTCTCCCCAGTAATACCTTAACCTAGGTGTTGTAATAATGTTTGAATGTTAACTCCACTGTAATTAAATTTAGGTGAACTACCATCAGCAAAGCGATCCAAAATTTTGGTATTTTGAATACTCTCCAGAAAATCTTCTTAACCAGAAAGACATGTTTAACCGGTTACAGACAATAATTCCTCCCAAGATTTCCACATTGTTTTCATCAACGAGAATTTTATAAAAAACAAGTTCAAATCATCACGGAGTGACAATCATTCTTCTGTCAAAAGAAATGGCTATCTAGAAGTGGAACGTAAAGAGGAATGGAAATGAAAGCAGGAATCTTACACACCTGCCCAAAAACTTCTTCATTCACAGTAAATGTGAGATCTAGGATATCATGTATATCGTTGTCTTTCATCCATTGCAAACTCTGGTGAAACTCCTCATCAAGGTATTCCAGGTCACTCAGGTCACAGAGTCTAACACAGGCAAGAAGAAAACACACTGATATAAATGACAGCAGCAGTGTGCATTCAACAGCAGAGCTCAGACAGTACAGTCCTGCAAAACAGACTGAGAATAAAGACAGCTAAGAGAAAAATCAATAGAACAAAGACCCTTTTCCAAACCTCTGTGTGCTTGCCTACTAAAAATAGCAGTTACTTGCATAACTCAAACTGTTGTTTTGTTACTGTACATAACTCCAAAATTTGCTAATTTAAAGATACACTGCTTTTCAAGCGTATGCTGTTTCTTATTCTAGGTCTGTCCCATATTTTATGTGAACAGTGTTTCTTTATTTGATCACAAATTATGAAAATGCATAATACGTATTTAATATCTAAGAGAGAGAAATTTCAACTCATAAACAAAATGGCAAGTTTTAATAACAAGCAACTACTATCCTTTCTGCTTATATTCCTACACTGCCACCTCTCTTGTTTCTTTGCTGTGCAAAGAAGTCAATTCAGACAGCCTCCTTATCATGGAAACACCTTTTTATCTTTTGTGATACTTCCCTTCATTTGTCCTTTTACAAAGCTATCCCGTGAGCCAACTGGCCCTCGCCATCTTGAATACTTACTACTCCAAGCTTTAAACATGTGAGCTGTCAGTAACATTTAATACTGCAGGGGCAATCTCTGCTATTCTTGTTAACTCTGTATAACATCTTGTTATGTGAAATGGCGCACTGTCACAAAGTGAAGCATTCTCAATTCATTACATCGCACGTCCAGACATGCCGTGTAAGTGCAGTTCTCATTGTCTCAACCGGAACAGTAGTAGTTGTTCTGAAAATCAGGTCTAAAGGACCTCCAAGTAAAGCACCTCAAAATGGAGACTGTCAAAAATCAGTATACCTCTGAGAACATGGGTCTTGCAGTCTAAGTTAAGAAGTGATTCATATCCTAGCCTATGAGTCATTAGAAGACATATGAATAAGAACTCTATTAATATCTGGAATAAAACCACAGCATTTCATCGTACAACTTGAAATAAAAGATTTTATAGAAGAAAGACGATATCATGGCTAAAACAAATCATGAGGTTTTGATACTGATCAGAAACAACATGTTCTGCCTTATTAGGTACCTGGCTAATACCATAAGCAGAAACAAGTAGGCTAGTAAAAAAGTCCTGGATTAAAATGAAACGATAAAACTATTTTGTAATGGCCTGTCGTCCTGAGGAGAACAACTTCATAATTTATCCCTACTCAAAATGACATCTTCCACAGAGGGTGGGAGGAAGGAGACAGAACACTTCTACTCACATTCGGAGGAGAGCTTTATAAAAGGGCCGCGTAAAGAAGGCATCGAGTAAATACTGATGTATCAGAGCAAGACCAAGGATTCGACCACTAAACCTGAACCTAGAGGAGAAAGAGTTACAATCACTATACCGAAACTTGGTGGTTTGTACACTACGCTGTCATCAAAACTTACACATATTTCCAAATAGCATTTTAAAATCAGATAGCTATGTCAAATTGTGGTATTTTGTTTTTTCTTATGCTTCTTTTACATTCTTACTAAGGCACAGAAAAAAAATGTAGATCTGCAGGGTGTGTAAAATCCCTCAGTTATCTGAGTTGCTACTTTTCGGAAATATCGAATCCATATTAACCCATTCTACCCCTGCCAGACTAGGCTCTTTATAAAAGCATAGCTTCCAAAACAACAGCTACTGTCTGCCTATTTTCCGTACACTGCCTATATACTGGACTAGATTTCATGCCACTGAGAGGCTGAAGCTCTTTCTACTCTTTCCTTTTTCCTGGCAGGTGTTGCTGTGCTCCTTTGCTGCTTCGGGACACTTCTTGCTCCCTCTTCTGACTGGTGATTATGGAGTTCCACATATATTTCCATGAACAGTGGCTGGAAGCTTTCTTACGTATCTCACTCCTCTCCAGCCCTATGTCGACATGATCTAAATGATCTCCTTCTCTCCTCTCTCTTTCTTCCCCTATTATCTTCATTTTGCTGGATGTACAGAGAGGCCTGGGGTAGAGTTTGACAGGGTTGAGATCAGATGGCTCAGATGATAACCTAGTAATAGGAGGATCTTTGCAAGTATTCCCATGACAATAAAGATCCATGGTGAAAAACCCTCCACATCTCCGGAACTAGATTTAAGTCTAGTGTCCTTTTTCAAAGAAAACAATGTTTCTTAAACTTTCTGTTTGGATGCATCCTCAGCAATGCTTTACTGGGGAAGATTAGGGCTTTATTATGTATGCCTGCCTGTATACAGGGTTTGCAAGATGAGGATGTGACACACCCAGCCATCTCCTTCCATGCAAAGCTGCTGGTCACAGCTGCATTCTCTCAATTCTCCCTGAGGCTGTTACTGGACGCGGCTCTCCCAAAAGAGAGGGGTCATGCCTCCCTTGCCCGCAGACAAGGTCTCCGGTCCTGCACTGCTGAACTCAGAGATGAGTGCGCTGTTGGCAGAAGCTGTGCAGCACCTAAGTTTTTTTCCCTCCCCTTTTTGCCAGACTGTCCTGCTTTTCCAATATAGTATGTGTCATATATTGTTGCAGTATTGGAGTTGAACAGGTAAGTTGCTTCCACTAATTGAACTGGATGCAACAGGCATCTGGAGGCAACTGGATTTAAACAGGCTCATAATTGTGAAAATGAGATTACGTAAAAACATGAAAAGCACTTAAAATTAACTGTTTTTCTGTTTTCATTGTGAATTCTTGCCAGCTTTTTAAAAAGTGTGTGTATATGCACAGATTTGGTTAAGAGCTACGCTATCAGCAGTCTTTTTTTCCACTCACAATTAAGATAGCTCCATAGATTCCCATCCAGTAGATGTGGGCTTTTTCCCCTGTGGAGACCTCTGCACTCTTTAGGAAGTACCATGAAACAAAAGATACGCAGTAACACTTCTTTAAAATCTCCCTTCATCTCCTAAGTTGACAGAAAGCCAATGCTTCATGCTCTTTTTCTTTTTTAAGATGCACAAGGAGTTAACATTGCTTTCACGAAATGACTGTCTGCTAACGTACAAGAAATGCAGAGAGTTGTGTTGTGAGATAATCCCATGACACATGTTCCAAATCACAGTTTTGCTGACCTTGTGAGAAATAAGATCATTTAAAACCACCACTAGAGAAAACAAAATGAGGAAAGTCTAAAGAAATGCAATTATTTTGCTGCTGGTTAAAAAGATCAAATTGTGTGTGACATGTCTGAGCAAATATGAGCTGTTCTCCACAAGCGGGAACAACAGAAAAGACATCTGAAAAATAAAGAAAGAAAAATAATTCTTACCACTCGTGGTGATTGTCTACAAAAGCAGACATGGGACTTATTTGTACTGTGTAGGTATCGTTGGCTGAATATTCAAACAAACCATAGTACGGATTGAAGAGCTCTCTAGACACCAGGAAAAAAAACTCTCTTGAAGGTCCACTGTAGTCCAACCTTTAAAGAGAAAGGTCTATTACTATCAAGTGTTTCTTGCATGCAAGTAAAGGTTTTTATGAATCTACATTCCTTACACTACTTTTCAGGTTACATTTTCTTAAGATTTTAACCAGAACCCTGATCCTGCAGACTGCTTAACGCTAAGGGATGTGAAGTCCTCATGGAGCATTTCTGAAATGGAGTGGCTTGGAGGACTGGAATAAAATGCTATACAGACAGCCTTCCTCAAATACTTTGGCTCCATCTATAATGGTCCCTTTTGCCATGGGGAATCTAATTAAATCATTCTGCCAGGGCAAAGGAAACGTGAAAAGAGCCAATATTAGACCTATCTGCATCTGACAAATTAAGGATGAAAATGACCAACAGTCATAGTCTGTCCTTGCAGACTTGTAAGAATAGGACAGCTTGAAAGGTAATATTTCTCTTTTCCCTAACAGTATCATCTGAAACTACTCCCATGATTAATCTCGCTTGGTCTAAATTCACTTATCTGTCTTCCAAAATTCAGTGCAATGAAATGTCTTCTGGAGAGTGCGTTTCCTTTGGTTTTTGCTATTTCAAGATTCCAGTACTAACGGGCAAGGAATCTAAATAATCCCTTCTTCCTGAATTATAAACAAACTCATTGCTGACAAAGCACTAGACTGAATTTTGACATTATGCTGTGGGTCACAAGCGAAACAAGTTTACACTTCAATGAAGTTAACGGTCTGGTAGAGGCGGAAAACAGAAAACTAGGCATCTTCCCGTACAGAAATTATTATAATCGTAACAGATATAAAGCATCTTCTGTAGCTGGAAGAATTCGTGCTTGACTTTTAAGAAGGTCTTACTTTAGTACTAAGACAATGCACACAGACAGAAGTACTGCACAGAAAGTCAGCTTCCACATAGGACTGCTATTACTAATGTTTTGTCCGTCTTCTGTAAAAGCTTATTAGCCACCGATGAGAGTGGTTTGTGAAGATGAAGTTATCAGAAAAGTAAGGGTGAGGTACCTTTACCAAATTGAGGACAGAGCCTCTCTCTTCTGCTGAAGGAAAAACCTTTTCCCTTCAGTCAGTTGAAAGCACTTAGCTTCTGTTAAGCTTCAGAAGTGAAGTCCTGAAACAGATTCTCACCCTGGCAAGAAGGGCAAATTCCATCCTCAAATTGCAGAAGGAAATAACAGTGTGATATCATGGGCAACTGTTAGATCTTAATTTGGCACAAATACCAGATCAAGAAAAGGGTCCCCTAGAAGATTCGTGCAAACTCCTGGCATAGTCAGAATCACTACGGAACGTTAAGACAGAACAGAAACTGGCCTACCTGCCGCTTCACACAGCTCCCTTTGTACACGGCATTACCGTGAGTCACGTTAAATAAACCAACCATGGGAGTCCTGCACTGGCAGTCAGATTTATCCCACAGTTAAAGGCTTGGCACCAGGGTGAGAAAACTTCATACAAGAAGTATGCAACCACACAGCAGCTGCAACTGTGGGGCATCTGGGTATTCAGGAGTGGAGTAATATGTTGTTGGCAACGTGATTCATGTCTCCTAGGAATCACCATTAATACTTCAGATTTGCCACTCTTAAAGGTGAGGCCTTTTCTGCCATGAAAAGCAGATTGCAGAAGACTCTTGTGGTGAAGTCTGTTATTTTTCCAGACCACCTTAAGAGGAAATAGGGCATTCATACTAAAGTGTGAGACAGTCCTACGGAAGAAATCACTTACTTCTTTACGAAATATATACCTTTAAGATTTAAAACACCGGTGATAATTTGAACTACATCTGTCAGGGAAACAAGGAGCCCTAAAATGATTTAAGTCATTTTTATGCCCCCCTGGGCTGGCGTAACGATTGGAGCGGCCACTGGAACCAAAGTTAAGACTGGCTCCCAGGTCTGGCATGCAGACTATGCTTTTCTCTTGAACACCCACAGTGCGGGAGGCTGCAGACATGTCCCTAGCAGCTCCTGTAGGTACGGACTTGTGAAAGGATCTGCAAGAGGTGACTGCATGTACAGCTGCCCTTGCCTACAGTGGGGAACTCTGTCTGGATTTTAGGGCTCCTTTACATCTCTCCAACCCTTTTACGAGGTGGTTACTACAACAGAGGTGAAAATTTCAGCCAGCGTTTTTAGACATCGTGAAACATTCGTACATTAGAGATCATGGCATCTGAGCAGGCCTAGTAGGCTAGGAAACAAGAGTTTTCACATGCAGACAATCAAAAATTAAGAGAATTACATACTACACACCTAATAGGAATATTTAAAAACAGGAAAAGCAGATAGATTAGTTTTACCATTCAAAGTCAATCCAATCCAGAAAATATCCTTTCCCACCATCTCCACTAGTTAAGAAAAAAAACCTTACAGGCCAGTTTTTTAAACCCGCGCTTAAAATTAATACAACTCGGAATATAACTTAAGGAATCATATTCTTTGAATCAAATTTTTTTTCTTTTTCTCCACATGTAGTACGAATGTAAAAAAACCATTAAAATAGTATCACAGTCACATGACTGTAGAAACTATAGAAATATAGAAACGATAGAAATGATATGAAGGGCAATAAGTATATTTAAGTTACCCTCCTTACTAACATATCCTAATAGATCTGAAGTTACTCAAAATGTTTTAATCTGAGAGGGTTTCATTACCCATTACTTTAAGACTTCTACCTCTTTACCAAGAGGAAAAGAAATTTAACAGCAAACTCCTGACCAGCTGTCTTCAAAAAGGAAAAGCAGGAGCAAATAGGGAACAATTCACTTTCAATGTTTCTCCTGCTCCTCTCCCTCACCCTGACCTGTCTTCCTACACCTAGCTAAATGAAGTTTGAAGCATGATATATATCTCCTTAGATATATTCATTTCTGATGAAACAAAATTGTTTGCACATATCCTTTTTTATCCAAAAAATAATTAGTAAATAGACAGTTGATGCCATTTTGGTTTGAATTTACTTATAATTAACTAATTCTTTGCCATTAAGAAAAAAGTCCTGTGTAAAGCTGGCTATAATGGGAACAGTATGTGTCACCCCCATTTCCAGATCACTCTTCATCTTGCTGTTGTGCGTGATGAAATGGAAAAGCCTAAAGTCCAACAAAAGGAGACTGTCTATCTAGACCTCTCTCTCTCTCTCTCATGCATCATTTTCAATTTTTCCCTTTCATTTTTAAAGCCGAATGGAGCTTGACGCTATGAAAGTAAAGGCAGGGGCCCTGTGTGGGACAGGTCTTGTTGCTGCATCCCCACCCTGCTCTGTCAATACAGTGTAACCTCCCACTGCACCAGCCTTGTCATTCCAGTTCTGAATTTCCCCCCAGACAGTGTGGTGATATTATTTGGATGAACAAGTTCACACTTGGTTCTCAGCTGTCAACATTTTTCATTTTAAACCTTCCGTGAATTCTTGTTAATTCTAAGGATTTCAGGGAGACTTTTAAACAAACAAGAGTACTTGGGGATTTTTCAGAGACGGATTAATCATATCTAATCTTGTACGAGATGCTTCTATTACAACTTAGCTATTTTAAAGACTCACACATCGCATGGTACTAACGCATGCTACAGCACTGCAAGAACTGTGTGCTGCAGTTTCCTTAAATACCAAAGAATAAAACTTCGAATGTATTTACAAACACATGCACGTATACCCATAAAAAGCTTTGTGCCTAATACAATAAGCTTCAAGAGCTGGTAAAGCAGATACAAAACAGAAAAGCTGAAAGAGGCAGATAGTACTTGTTCCAGTTTCGCTCACAAAGAGAAATCTAACCACATCTTGCCTTGTAACACAAATCACACAATCTATATCACGGCAGACTCGCATCAGGCACTGGCTGAGCGTTCTCTGAAACGGCGCTGAAATGTCAGGAATATTTGTGTTTGTCTGACAACCAGCAACAGCTTAGCTGCTTTTATTTGTGCCACAGGCCCTGGCTTGGAGAGACAATGAGCATCTCCTGTAGCACGGGGAGGGCTTTCAGGTCCTATTGCCTTAGATAGGAACTGAATGAAGGATCAAGCCTTTAGCCCATTCTTGAAGCACCTCCCATCACCAAGTGGCAGATGTCTTGTTACAAGCCCTAGAAATACAATGTCAGCACTGACAGAAAAAAAACATGAATAACACAAAAAAGTTTTGTTTGCTTTTTCTTTGCTTTCCCAGCAACGTTCTGAATCACACAGCAACTACGGTGAAAATTCACATAAACACACATATAGCTTCTGTAAAGGCAGGATACGTTACATTTCACAAGGCCTAAAAAATCATCTTGAACAGCTGTATGTTCTAGGCTTATGTATGCGGCATTTCCTGACCACAATCCTTCCTCTTCTCACCCTAGACCACAAAAAATTTGGTGAAACAGCACAGCTGCAAGACACGCTGAGTTTTGAGTTCACATCTACTTCCCTGTTCTACTCACCCTTCTTCCCCAACAAATGTGACATAGAGTTTATTTCTCTGCAGGTCTTTTCTTGAGTAACCCATAATCTGGTTAAAGGCATCTTCCAGCAAGTGGTCTCTTCTGATGATTAATCTGAAGATTAAAATAATTTTGAAAGAGCAATTCATGAACGCGAACCACAGTTGGAAACATCTGTTTTCACAGCAAGGTAACAGGGTAACTGTTACTAGAGCACTGATACATATTTTTGCTGGATGATTTGACCCAGATCAGGTAGCTTCTGTTCTGTTCTCCTTCTCCCCTTCACAGATCTATTTCAGACTTCAGAAAAACGTCTCTCGCACAAAGTAGTGCTGGTTTATTTTTTCAAGGCCAGTTCTTGCCTACACGAAGGCCACAATGGGAAAGGTCCTGAAGTGGACATTTTTGTTTAGTTTAAAACCCTTTTGCAAGACTGGGCTTCTATATCAGTCTCATTCTAAGCAAGAACTTAGCCTTTTATCTGGCAATCAATCTCTTATAAGCCAAATGACAAAACTGTGTGAAAGCTGCTGAAAGACAACTCCAGAATCAAACATCCCTACATTTACCCCCAGGGGAGGTGTGACTGGACAGTAAGCCTAGTAATAATGGCAATTATTCCTCCAAAAATAGACCAAAGCATCACCTGTGAAAATATAATGTACCTTTTACTAGAAAAAATAGTAAAAGTGAGAAAGCATCAAGGAGGTCTGAAATAATAGGTGAAAGAATCCTACTTACTTAAACATTTCATCTACTGCCAAAAACCTGTGTTTAATTAATCATCATGGACCAAGTTTCCTGAAACTTAGCTTGCCTTATATTCAAATCCTGCCTGGGAGGAGAACCTAGAAATAAACTTCTATTCAAAGTCAAGACTGTTTTCCTGCTTTAAAAAGCGTGACAGCAAATAGGTCAGAAATATTCTTAAGAAAAAAAAAGGTGCCAGAAATGTAGCTGTACGGTTAGCTAATACCATCCTCTTCTACCAGCTACTTCCCAAGTATTCATGACAACTTTTTAATAGATTACACTTTAAATGCTTATGGTTTAGTTACATTATAGTTAGAGAATGTCCAACGCCTTCCTCTTAAGGCTGTCTAAACAATACGGTTTTAGCCTCATTTCAGTTGTGGAAAAATTTTAACAAAGCGACATAAATATCTGAGCTCTGCACAAAGCAATTCTTTCTGTCAATTAAACAATTGCAACTAAAGGCAACTAAGGACAGCAATTTAAACTGTCAGCAGAAGTGACTGATTGGTGAAAAAAATACCCCCTAATCTAAATGAAGAAATAGTTAAAAAAAAAAAAAAAAAAGGAAAAAAAGAAAAAAAGAAAAAGTTCTCGTGTTCCATGGCTAAGGAAGACGATTGCTATGAGTTGCTTAGGAGAAAGCGTGCTTTCTCATTACAATTGATTTTGATTTGCCTAAACTATGAGAGTTTGATACCTGGCACAAGACTCGGTAATTTACAAAATTAGGAAGTATTTTATGATGAAGATACTCAGCATAACAGTACATCATTACAAGATTAAAGAATAAATGAAGGAGGCACACTTACTGGGACTCATGAAGACTTCACTTTAAGCACTCCAGCATTCGGACTGCTGAACTTTAAAATATTAGCAGTTTTTAAAGGCGTTCCTTGGAATTTAATTTTATGAGAGACCTCTTTACTGAGGAGAACTACGATCTTAATACAGGCAAAAATGTATCAAAAAAAAAAAAGCACATCTAATCTTTTGAACGCGAAAAGATAAAAGAAAATATATTTATCTCATAGTGATTCCTGTACTGGAAGAGTTCAAATGCCTCTTGTTCTGCAAACAAGAGGTTCTGCAAACATGCCTTTTCCCAGAGCTCTTTTTGTCACTGCATTAGCAATACTGTTTGTACAAAAATACAGATATTTGGAAGTACTATGGAAAAGCAGTGCACAAAACTTGCTGTGTCCTCTGCTATGAATCACATGCTGGTGCTAAGTCTTTTATGATAGGGTTAATACTTAATTTCGGAAGTGCGAGGGTAACCATGACATCTGCATTCCTTCTAATGGAAAGAAGCTTGTAGATGTGCAAGGCAAGACAGGCTGCTGGAGAAAGAAATCCAGTTTCATGAGATTGGTCAACATACTTCAGTTTCCCTGGGCCTTGTCCATATCCTTTAGTTTCCAGCTTCCTATAAAAGTTCCTCAACTTGGCTTCAAAATCTCTTTTGTAAGGAGCTGGAGCCCGGGCATTGGCACGCTGAGTACCTGCAGGAAGCAATAAGCAAAGAATGAGCTTGAGTGACATGAACTGATAATGTCCCGTCTTCTACTGAAAAGACTCTTTAATAGCAAACAGCACGGGATATGTTTAGTTTCACTGAAAGATATCTTTACAAACTAGTAAAAGCTGCACACCTTCAAACCTACTCTGCATCCAAGACTTTTGGGTTGCTGATTTTAAATGGTATCATGTTTCTAAAGTAAGTCTTAAAAGAGCAAATCCAGATGGATGCAAAAGATTGATTAAAAAGTAACAGTGAGATCAACTGGAAAAAGTGAATGTTTGTTGAGTGTACTGTATGTCTAAACTTTAAGCTCATGCTCATTAAATAAATGCTCTGCTCCGTTCTGTTATATTAAAAATATTATGAGGAAAAACAAGAGCTCAGGCGTGAAATATAAACACACTGTCCTCTGCTCTGTAATATGCCCCTCTATGAGCATGATTTGGGAAGCTGCAAAGAAAGAAAGTAGAAAGCTAGAAGGAAAACTTTTGTCCCCAAATGGAAAGCTCCCTAATGGAAATTTTTACTTGGGGAAGTACAAGGAAGAATAATATTGGAAGAACACTGGAGGGCCAAATTTAAGTTTGTGGAACTTTTCACATGCGGCTGCAGGAACATACACGATGATCAAAGTGAATTTATTTTTGAGAAATTGTTTTTGAGGGCCAATTTGTTAAAAGCGGGGATAGGTTTGTATGCCAAAAAACACACGTAGCCCTACTTCTGTGTGTACAAGTCTAGTATATGCAAAGCGGGTGTTTCAGTCTGATTTATTTTGAATATCACAAACACTAGAATTTCCATAGTCTCCCTGGAGAAATTACTTCAATTGATTCAATTGCAAGAAAGTGTGCCAGAGAGGCAGTTTACCCTAGCCCTTCTACTTTCATCTTCTCACCCCTACTTTTTATAACATTAAATAATTCCTCCCTTGTGCTGGGTGTGCAGACTTCCCATAAAAACCCAGACGATGTTAACATTTCTCACACCCTGCAATACACATAGGTTGCTAACTCCTCCTCTGCAAATAGGGATCATCTAACAGGCCCATAACGCACAGGAAATACAAATCAACAGTTTACAAGCACACACAGGTAGACTTCCGTCTTTTAAATGACAATCAGTTCCTTACATCAGTTTTCTTTTGGCTCCCTGTATAAAACTAAGCCAATACAGAAACATTTGTTACTACTAGGCGTGAGGGCAAGAGAGGGTAATATTTCAGGTTATAAAAGAGATGGAGAGTGTACCCATACAGCCTGCAGAAAAAGAACAGCAGAAGAGAAAGCAGCTTGCTTAGCCACAAAGTATGTGGGTCTGACAGAAGAGGCAAAGAGTACATCCTGCAGCAAGTGGCTGTCGATAGAAGTTGCAGAGACCGGAGAGAGAGGAAGAATGAGATCAGAATTAACACTGAATCCCATTCACAGGTCTCTAAAAGACCTGCCTGACCAGAAAAGAGAGTTGCTGCTTGTTTTTGGCCTACAGACTGGTGTGTGGGAGGAACAGAAAGCGTCAGGAAATCCTCACAGCTCCAACAGGAATGTGCAGAACCCTTCTGGAAGAACAAATCACAGTCATTGATTAACCCATTGTGGTTACCGTATTTTACTGAGAGCCTCAAGGGCTTCCAATTGTACACTCTGCCGAATGCTCTAGAAAACGCACAGCAATTTGAAACTGTAAACAGCCTTTTAATTATTGGTCTTTTCTCCCTATTTTGTTTATTCTGCTTTGGGTCAAAAGAGGCACAAAAATGTAGTCACCAAAGAATGCAACAAAGGCATACTTTCATCTCAACCCCTGAAGCAATTTTTTTGCTAAGAGATACCATAGAAAATTGATCTGGTAACACATTACTTCATGGTTCAAAAATTACCAGTATAATACTCTGTCAGCACATGACAAGTTCTCATTGCAAATCAGATATATCTGCCAAGAAATTCCTGGGCAATTATAGTGATTATTTCCGCCTTGGGAACAAAAGATATTAGTGGAAGGGCTAAAAAGTAATGTGATAACCATATTTGATTTCAAACAGAGTATATTCTAAAACACACACAGAGAGTAACTTCATGACAATTCATCTTTTCCAAAAGAAAAAGCACAACTGACTGTGACTGATCTAAACAATGGATCTTTACTACGCAACCTCCGGCAGTGCAGCACAGCCAGTTTAGCAGATAAAAACACACAGAGCATCCACAGAAATCACGGGCAGTTTATAATTTCTGATGAAAACGTTATAGGACTTCATTTGTATACCAACCCAAGCATGCAGACTCACAAACAGGCCAACTGAATGGTCTCTACATATTTCTCTATGCGATAGAATAGAGATTACAATTTTAAGGAAAACAGGACTAAAGCCATCACAGTTCATCCTTTAATATGTGCTGCTACTTTGAAGAATAGATGAGAATATCGCATGCTAAAAATCAAAGACATTTTTAGATTAATTTGTTAGACGGAAGCCCTGCCAACCAGGGTGCATGCACTAATAATGAAATGACAACTCTGAAAGACAAAACTGTTTTTACTCATAAAAGACTGCCGGGTTTGCAGTTGGAAATAAGATGCACACATGCAGATGTTCATCCTTCCTTTTGTTGTAGGGAAAATAATTATATACGGACCATAAACATATCCAAAATACCAATATAACAACAGGTGAATATATTCTGCTGCTTTGCAGGATGCTGTATAAGATCATTAAGATCTTAGGATGGTTTCTCTGAATAGGTCCTATAGAAGTCCTAAGTCCAGGAGGAGGACAAGCTACCATTTAGGACACGTTTATGTGTGTTTTGGACTGGGAAACAGCCCATAAAAATCACAATACCTCTGATAAAGCCTCCTTATTTTCTGCAAATTTCCAGGGTTGGTTACATCCCAAAGGTTCTTTACTTACCTATATTTCTGTTCTCTAATTTGCGGAACTTAAAGCAACTTAAGCAACTTCTGATTTACTATAGTGATTTAATTTTACATACCTACTATTACCTTCTTGAGCAAACTAAGAATAGTGCCAACTATAAACTTCAAATTGCTTTACTTGGCCTTCAGAGGTCAAATGGAACTTGTCACATTTGACATAATTTGGTTTTGATCAGCAACGTAGTTAGTTAATATTTGAAGGTGGTCTACAATGTTTTGCACAACCACCTCATTCCATTCTGACATGTACAGTCAGACAGCCGCAATATGCTTTTCTTACTTATATCTTACTTAAACTTTTCTTAAATTTATATGTTCTGAGCTTATGTTAAGTGACAACAATCTGGCTCTACGTAAAATTGTTTTGACTCTTTGTCCCACAACATAGCTTAACGTACAGCTTAATGTATTAGATCTCATATTTTTAATTCTCTAGGCATCAGGATGCTTGCAAGAACACTCAATTGTTCAGCATCAGTGAAAAACAAGTTTGCATGTTTTACAAGTCAGAACAAAATCATAAACTCGGATGCTGGAATACATTTATCTTTCTACTGGCAGAACACTTTGTCAGCCCAAGGCAAAGATTCAGATTTGGCAGTCAAATTCAAACACACTGGTTGGCTTTGCTCAAAAATAGAACCAGATCTTTCTTGCTGCTGCAGCAACATAACTTGGATCTTCAGAAAGGTGGGAAGTGATTACATGCAGCATAATGTAAACTAAATTAAGGGACTTGCACTACTGCAATATTTTAGAGATATTATCATAGTGAAAGTAGTGCAGTGGAGAATGACAGCGATGACTAGCTCACTGACCACTCAGAAGGTGGCTCAGCTCATCTTTAGCCATCTAAAAGTTGGGAACTGCAAAGGAAAATAGCTTATCGCTTCCAAGATGGTAGGCTCTCAGATCTAGGCTGCCATAAATTTCAGTTCAGAAAGTAAACAAAGAATTACAGCCAAATTCTTCTACTGTCTTTGTTTTCTGACCTCTGGGACAGCAGTAGGAGTGCATTAGTGACTTCACTGACTTGGGAACTGGTCCTCACTGAGTATGAGAAAGGGTTTCCTATAGCTGCTGCCGAAGCTGTGCCTAAGCAACCTACCTGGAGAGTTCTGAGGCGAAGACACCGGTGAGCCTCTCGGGGACTGGCAATAACTGGGATGAAGTAAGGCATGTGGCGGGACATATGACATTATCTCCTCTTCAAACAAGCTAGTGTAGTAAGAGAACAAATACTATGTTTATTTGAACGAATGGAATAGATATCTGGTAACAGCCTCAAAACTAACCTGGTTTCTTTAGCAGTCACTCACCTATTTCCACCGTATACACGTAGAGTGCTAGAAAATATTTTATCACCGTTCCCTCAATCAGATCTTGAAAGTCACTAGATAGTAATTATTACTACTTCTGTGTGACATCACTTCACATAGCGCAGTGTACGTTTTCAAGATTAAAATAGGGTTAACTAGCTTTTTAAAATTACTTTTTTTTTTTTTTTTTACTTGCGTTCTCATTACAAAGGGGTCAATAATTTTTGTTACGCTTTCCTGTAAAGAGATCTGTAACACTGCACAAAGATCAGGAACTGTAACAAATATTCTAACCCTCTAGGAGGAAGAATCACATCTGAACTTGTTGAGTGTGCTGAACAGTAAGCTTGTTGGCATAACAAGTTATTTCCTTATTTATCTTCATTGCTAATGCTGTTATTGAAACTGGTATTGCATATAGTCTGCTCAGGTTATTTCATGCCTCATGTATTATTGCCCCCTGAGTTACACAGCTTTTAAGAGAAAATTAATAGATCTTTTGCAGCCTAATGTTACGTCTGTGTATGGAGAATCGGTATATATTAAAATTTCAGTCTCTTCCCAAAACTGATATAAGCAAAACCAAAAGGAAACAAAATATGTAATATCACAATGGATATGATATCAAAGCATAATTGGATATTAAACACATCACAGATAAAAATAAACTCTTCAGGTCATATATAAAATTTATTTCCAAGAGTCGAGCTACCAAAAGAATCACAAGCCAATCTTTAATTATAGAGCTTTATCAATGAAAGTGAAGTTCAAATAAAATAAGTTTCTTACTAACTTTGCTCACTAAACAATTATCTAGAGCAATTTTTTGCATGAATTTTTTTTGAATGGATATTTTCTGGCAATACTGTTAACATTCATTACCATGTGCTGTTTTCCTCACACAGCTATATTTTGATGCCGAAAATGTGGTAAAATGTAAACAACTACTTCAGTCTTGGATTAAATCAGGATTTAAGATGATTTGTGTTGTATCCCAGATAGCATATTCAGAAGAGCAAACAAAAAAAAATTCTTTTTTCAGAACACCTGAACATATTAAAATACTCTAAGAAAGGTATTATAAGAAATATGTGATGCTTCAGTCCTTGAAAACATAGGGTTTTTTACTTAACTGCAACTTAATACTTACTGAAGCATGTGAAAAAAATGTACAGTGTTCCCAAGCAGCAAAAGTATCAGAAATTGTGGTTCCACCCAGTGATTTACTAGATCTCAGAGAGCTTTACAGAATAATTATATCCCCCCCACCCTCTTTTTTTCCCCTGCAAATGAAGAAGCAGAGGCCTAGAAAGGGGTAGTGTCTTGCCCAAGGTCATCCAACCAGCTAAGCTAGAGACAAAACCCCCGTGTCCTGAGTCCCAGTAAGACTGGCTCATCGTGATTTGAGCGCAGCTTTGTCAGGGTTTCATAGAAAGTGTCACGATGTCACTCCAAATAAACATTTAAGCTATCAATGGTAAGAAGAGAAATTCCAGCATACCTCAGTAAACTGCTATTTTAACTTAGCTCTACTTTGCTTTTACACAAGTATTTACTCTCTCTTACAATAAACTCACAGTAACTTAGTCCAGTTCTGAGGTACAATATCTAACATTTTAAGAAACTAATAGATACATAGTAACATATCAATAATATATCTTTGGGGACCATGGTACTTTGGTTGTACTTAGGGGTTAGAAACAACTTAGCTGTTACTAAAGAAGAGGGGAAAATCCTAGGGGAAAAAAAAGCTTTTCAATTAGACATTTTGAGATTTAAAAAAAAGATCAGTAGAACAAGAGAAACAAGATTTGAAAAATACAACAAAGTTATTTTGGGGAGGTATTGGGTACCCTGCTTTTCTCTTTCAAAAATTAGTTATACTGATCATTGGTTTTCTACAAATGAAAGATTATAATTAAAAATTTGAATTTGCAGTATTTCCAATATAAGCAGCCTTTGCTGTTATCAGAACAGTAAACAGACTAGAATCCAGCCAAACAGCAACGACAAAATCATCAATGCAAGCCTCATTTTAAAACAAACAGCTGAAGCCAGATTTCTGTGTGCAAAACCTGTGTCATCTTCATGCGTTAAGAAAATCAAAATCTTTACAGTTTTTTTAAAAATCTATATTCTCATTTAAAAATAGCTTCAGCACAGCTTTAAAATGAGATTTTATATCTTTAATTCAGAGACTTAAGGGCCAGAAAGGATTGTGATTATGCAACCTGACTTCTAAATACTACTAATGCCAATCCTATTACACTAGTTTTATTATTAAATATAGTTATGAATTTCCTGATGTAGTTTTACAATAAATGAGAACATAACCTGAAGATACAAAGATTTAATTCTAGCAAAAAATCCGCCTGATTTTTTGAGTTAATTGCTTAAATGAAATTTAAAGAGGCAGCTTCCCATTTCTTAAACTCCGTAACAGTATTACCTTTATTAAAGAGCATAACACTTGACAGCCCAGTGAAGAGGCAGCAAGACATTAAGTAACAAAAACATATCTCAGGTAGGAAAGTTCACAGATACAGACTTCCCAAATCACAGAACTAAACAGATGCATTCTCGAAGCAGTGAAAGAGCACGCTCTTGCAAAGAGGTCTAAACTGTACTATCTATCTAAACGTCAGAGGTGGATGCAACAGGACAATAAAAGGTGGTCAGGGCAAATGCCTATGAATCAGAAGCATAGTGCTCTTACCCTCTCCTTTCCACAAACAGAGCGGAAACCGTCCGTCACTGCTATGAAAAAATGTGACCTCCATGCTAGCAACTGCCATCTAGAAACTCAACATTACGAAAATCAAAAATCTGAACCTTCAGCTGTAGCTCCCCCAGCCGCAAGTCCAAGTACTGAAGGGGAAAGGATTGGGTCACCGAGTCACTACAAACCATTCAGTGAAAGGCTCCTCAGCAGCTGCCACAGCATATTCAGCATATTCCATGGAGTCATGGGAAGCAGCAGTGCCTACCTGAGTAACATGACGAGGTCTGCGTCGCTGGATAAACGCACCAGCCCAGGTGTTCCCTCTGTCCGGATGAACTGGATCTTCTCCCTGTGTAAGCAAAAAAAGCGTTCCGAAATATCTTTTGCAAATAATGCACCAATGTACACCACTGCAGCAAGAAAAATCAGAGGGTATATCATATAAACCTCTGGGTAATGCTTCTGTATTTCAGAAACCATTTTCTTTTCCTAACACACCATGCTGATGTGTGCAACAAACTATTACAACCAAAAAACCTAATTTGTTCTGAAGAGTGACTCTCCTGTTGCCCTTATCTCTCTGCCACTCAGGCTGCTTCAGGTAGCACAGCCATCCCACCAATAAAAATCAATCCTTCAGGTTAATGTTAGCCGTGGCTCTGAATTCAAAGCAGGAGGCTGAACCCTGAGGGAGGACATTACTATTCTGAAAGGGAACTGTTTTATAGAAGTAATGTCTCTTTTGAACCTTTGGACAAATTCAAGTCATTTATTACGATGCTCACTTGTGCTTTAGAAGTAGATATCTCAGAAACCCTTGTACTATTTCTCTTTCTCTCACAGCCAGCGACACACGCAACGCTCACAGCCCTCCTCCCAAACCTAAGGCGGCCACTATTGCGGAATCTATGCAACCTAAACACTCTGCCTGTAAGCGGCTCTGGATTTTTAGGATCTGTGCTGATCTCCTCTGGATGACCCTTGTTCTTTTTCTCTGTAGAGATCTTTCCCGCTTTTTTGAAATTGAAAGTACACTCCTTTTATTCTCTCAGTACAAGTTATATAATGGTATGCTAAAGATAATTTCTAATATGACCTTAAGCTTAAGGAGGAATAAAAAATAAATAAAAGAAACCTGTGTAGCAAAAAGTGTCCCAATTCTAAAGGAAGCTCCCCCTAAACAAACAGAAAAGTAAAGAACTCTACGTAAGAACAGCAGCACTGGCTCAGCTCAGAGGTCCATCTGTCCTACTGTCCTACAACCAGCACTGACAAGAAGGAGGAAACAATCCAAGCAATCAGCACTTTAATCAAGGTGAAGACAAAAGCACTGCCACCAGCGCACCACCGAAGCTGCAATGTGAGCTTCTCGAATACATCACTTCACGCACAGCAGTTTCATCAAAAGGATCAAAATAAATTTCTTGCCACCTCGCACTAAAAGCAGAACGGACGAACATTGCACATAAGGGCCCTCTCCAGCAATAGGGCTAACGTAAATTCCCTGGGGACTTGCACGACCTATACAGCATGCTTGAGGGAGAAAAGGGGCATGGGCGAGGCCGTCCCTAGGGCCCCTCAGACGCTGCTTGCTGGAGTGGCAGTTGTGCCTGTAGCAGGAGTGTGTAATTCAGCACTTCTCTATGAAGACAGGTATTGAAAGTCAAGTATTCACTTCATGAACCCTCTGGCCCCACCAGGACAAGACCCAAATTCAGTCTGGAAGCCTTACACAGTTTCGTTAGCATGCCAAATGCTGAGCCAAAGCTAACGTGCATTGACCTCCCACTAGCCTGGCCCTGTGGCGCCCAGGGCCGGGAGCTGGGGGCAGTTCCAGAGCCGGCTCCGATTTACACCGGAAGCCAAACAGCAAGGTCTGAGGAGATACAAAGGTGGGTTTCAAAATACGGCTTAGCATTTCGTTCCCAGCACTACTGGGAACCTAGAAGCATGTTTTCTGGGTTAACTACATAACTTCTCCGGGTTATCAGTGAGAGCTCTGGTTTCAATGACAGTTTTTAATACACACCTTTTACCTTCTCTTAAGGTATAAAATATGTTTAATGTATAATAGCTGCCTCTGCCTGAGGCCTTTTATGTTATTTAACAGCCTCTCAGGTTATCTACGGTGGTTTGCAATGAGATTCAATCTTGGCCACACGATTAATGGTATGTTAGGTACAATGTTCTCATTCCATCATAAAACCTCTGTACAACACATTTCCTACCTGCAACATCCTTTCATTATACGTTTTTAATAGACCTCCAACGTCTTATCATGTCTATTCATTCTTTTTAGAAATAATAAATTGTTTTAGATGGGAAATGTAAGAGATCTTTTCAAATAATATTTGTCCTCTTCCGTCTGACAAATATTGATTTTCCTCCTCACCTATGTATTAGTAATAATAATAATATTAAAAAAATTTAATATCATCATTCTACCTCAGCAGCACTGAGGCCCTCAAAGGAATAAATTATGACCAGTTGTACTGATCGCTAAACCGAAAAAAGACACACAGAATTTATAACATGCAATTTCACTTCGGTCTTAATTTATTAAGTAACGTAACTGGAATTAGTCTCACAGTGTGTCAAATGGACATGAGTTCCAATATCTTGGTAAAGAATGGTCTTAAAAGACTTGGTAGAAAAAAAGAAATTGTCATTTTTTTTTACAAAATTACAAGTGATATTGCAGAAGCACCAGTTTTAGAAGAGTATGGGAGAGATACAGTGGAAGATATTTTTCCTTAATTAAATATACTAACTCCAAAGACTAAGACTAGAATGGAGCCATCCAGCTTAACAGAACGGCTCCTCTGACTAATCCCACTTAACGTAAAGTAAAATTGTGTTCACTAAAATCCTCAATCATTCTGCTAAAGCAGGTAAGGTAAGTCTTCGTATGTCCTCGAGCTATTTACAAAACAAACATACAGAAAGATATATCGTCTTCTGTAACTTAAGAGCTACAGAAACCAGTATCTTTTTATTTTTGACCATCATTTTAAATTTGCAAACCATCTTTTCTTGAAAAGGGATCAGCTTGCAGAGAGTCACAATTCTGTAATCAGGAAGCAAGGCTCTGCAAGAAGCAGAATCTGGTAATATCAACAAGTCTTTAGAACGACCTGAACTCTGAATTGACAGAACCAACACAAAACACGCGAAGAAAATACTCTGATAGCAATCAGAACGTTAAAGGGAGCCAAGCACCCTGGGGAAAGGAGAAAAGAATAATAAAACTACTATTAATCAGAAATTGCTTGTATACTTTTCCCGATAGATTAGTTTGCTCATATTTCAAACCACGTTCAGTAGGACGAACTTGCTTGAAGTGATATGGGTACAACATAGGAACTGCTTTAACAGGCTGAGAACTGCAGGATTTTTATTTTCCTGCTTTCCTCTATTTTCTAGAGAGCATGAATTCTGCTAGCAATTCATTTCAAGGCTGTCAGCCAGGATTTATTTAAAGGATAAACCAAATCTCAAACACAACTTGTTAAAAAATAATGCTTTGAAAAACCGCAGAAGGGGACAGCTTGTTCAGTTTTGGGAATTTGCAGGATGTGGCAGGAAAAGGATAAGTACTGCTATGAACAGGGTTCATAACCAGCTGGTATAGATATGCACCTCAAACACAGAGGACTGCACTGGCAACTCTGTGCACAGGACATATCAAAATCCACATAATTAGTATGATTATGCAACCAGCAAACCAACACGTTTCAACTTTAGCATCCAAGGAAGGTATGGATATGTTCATTTGACAGCTGATCTCTAATCTCTGAGCTGACGGTTATTCCATCTTACACCCAAGGGCATGAAATAAGGTGTCTTTTTGTGGGATACATTTTAGGAGGGTCCTTGCTGCTTTCCGAATTTCACTTTTTTTCATTTTTAGTCTACCCACGCTGGTGAATTATAACCATTGTATGGCAAGCAGAGATCATCCTTCATCAGCTCTCACCCTCAGATGTCACGGGACTGTGCAAATTATGCAACTTTTTAAAATTTGGGGGCAACATTAAAAATGCTGATAGACTATGCTAATTAAGCTTACCTCCAAGGTCATTAGGTCAGGATGGCCCTCCTGTAAATATGCATTCCAAGGAAAATTACAAAATCAAGTACCATTCTGGCTCCGATTGCCTCACACTCCCAACTGGACACACTCACATTTGGGTACATTGGCCTTGCCATCCAGCTGCCTTGGCGCATTCTGAAGACATCCGCAAGCCTCTTACGTCTGTTGTTGCAAACTTTTTCTTGTAGGTACCTTCATTTTGTAATAAGACATTACTTCTGCTCTCCCAAATCTTATTTCAGGGAGTTATACAGAAATATAGTAAAGAACTGTATCACACAACTTTATGAATAAGTTTGTTTCTCACGGGCCAAAATTCTACGTAGCTCTCTGTTACGTTCTACTCCTAACTTTAACAGACGAAACTACCTCTAATTAGCATTTTGTACTGAAGTGGGAATAACTGACTCCGCTAATTTTATTACCTGAGCGAATGATTCCTGGTAAGGTCTGGTTGACGCTCTTGTAGAATTTCAAAGATATTGGGCTGCCGCAAAAATGCAACAATCTTGTCATTGTAAGCTGAAAATATCAACAAGAATATCTTCTGAAACAAGGAGGTACAAGACAGGATTGCATTTCTTCTGAACTTTGAACAATAACGATAACAAACCTCATCTTCACATTTATTAGTTTAGCAGTACCGCGTTAATACATTTTTCATCTAAAGATACGGATACTACTATCATTTGGGGGTCGTGCTTTGTGATTAGGAACCAAATTGATTATGATACACCTTTCCCACCGTTAACAGTGCCAGTTTTGATAGGAATTTAGATTATATTTTATCACTCATACTCTAAGGCAAACTAGGGCATTAATTCCTTGAATAAAACTGTGAGGACCTTTCATTTCCACTGCACTGCACCATGTTCAGTCATGTAACGTCAATGCAAAATGATACAAAGCATGTGAAACTCGGAACTATCCTAAATCACAACACCAGTGAGAGCAATGGAGAATCCAATACCTCGCTCTACAGTGATGTGTTGGACAAGGTTCTTTCTCACCTACCTTTAGCATCCCTTTCCAGCCCGTTTAGTCTCACTGTAATCTCCATAAACCCTACTAGAGGGAAGAATCCACCCTGATGAGTAATTAGTGCAAAATGGAGGAACTGTCCTCTGGAGGTGTCTGTCTGACCGCACTGGTGGGAAACCGGATTAGGTTATCTACCTAACTTATAGATTCATAATTTGTGTCATTCACCTCATCATTTGTGTGATATTTTAGACTTACAGAGCTAGACAAGACTACAAGATGACTATACACTTAGACGTTATAAAGTTCTTACATGCTGTACGAACATATATAGGGTATATATGTGGTATTCACATATATACCCTCACATGTGTGATATGAATATCACATATATACCCCTCACATATATAGGGTATATAGGTGAATGTTTTTCATCTCCTTCTCTGAGAAGTAATGACCTTTTGATTTTATTCTTATTAAGGGCCTGATTAAGCTTCAAAAAGGCAATGCATTCAAATGCATGGCTGTACATCCAGGCTCCACTTTTAAATCATACAGGCTTGTCTGTTTACTGTAAATTCAGCTGCTAGGGAGGATGTGGCTTTCTGAGACTTTGACAGGGCCAGCTATGTCATGTTAGCGGTAAAGTTCACTTTATTTATGAGTTTAAGAAATATTCAAAACTTAATGTTACTCCTTTGTAACTTTGCAAAAAGATGGGAACGAAATGATTAAAGAATCCATGGTTCGCCGTTAAAATTCACTGTCAAATTATATTGCATAGGGAGAAAACACGTTTCTGCTACTAGAGTGTAACATAGCTCCCCTGTTCAATTACATTTATACTCTCCTTCTAAGAATTTTAATGTCACTAGAAAACACAACATATGACTGTCCTCATCTAAGGCATTTATTTAACAAACACCGTTCAGAGAGCTGAACATACTTCTGATGATACAAGCATTTCTACTGTTGATAGACAGCCAACTGATATTTTGAAATGTGTCTGAGGTATCAGCAGCCAGCAGGTACCATAAGGAAGGAGGCTGAAGCCATTCATAAAGCTTCAAACAATATGTGATTAATGCTACCGTCAGAACTAGTAAAAAAAAATTATTAATATATCACACGCAAGAAGTGTCCTATTTTTTTTTTTTTACCTCTTGTCACATTTTCAAACACATTTTCTCATCTGTATATTCATTTTGCTAAAGTGATTCCAGGACTCGCTCAGCATTGGTGTCCAGTCCACCGTTAACCAGTAAGCAGTCACTGGAAACTCTCCTATTCAAATTCTCACCAATTACGGAGCCTGCAGTGCATGCACACCATGACCACGGCAAAGGGAAGGATTTAAATTAGCAGACATTTTCAAGTAAACACGCCACAGCACAGAGAAGCAGTTACAGTCAGTCAGATTAATTATTTTGATCTTGCACAACGTGACAGCTGCTAGATTCAGGAAGCTGAATTCTGTTCTCGGTGGCACAGAAGTCAGTAAGTTTCTGTGCGTGTAACTGAGAACAGAATTTAAGCTAATGACTAATTTCAAGCTGATTAACACTTTCTGCGATCTTGCCAAAACAGATACCCAGAAGTTGCACAGAATAACTGGGAATATATGGAGCCCAATTAGGACAGAACTTGAGTGAATGGCTTCAACTCTTCATTACTTTCTTAGAGTATATAAATTAGGGAGCTCAGTACAGGGAGAATTTTTACCTCGGTTATTCGATTCTGCATAGAAGCTTTTCAAAATTTTTCCTGCAGGTTGCAACTGTAAAACCGGGAAATGCTGATGCACAGAGCTACCTATAATAAATGATAACTCCCACCCACCCCAAGCAACCAAAACATCCAACAATGCACACTGACATGACAAATTCAGTCACCGAGTACTTCTCTGAAAAGAGCTCAAAGGCTGACGTACCCACTGGAACCATGTCCTGGTATTGAGCTCTGCTGACTGTATTAAATGTGCTAGACGGTCTTGGTAAAACTGGTGGGCCTGAATGACGGGAGTCCTCTCCAACCTGGAAAGGTACACGTAACTACAATGAATGTCTCCGTGTCAGCAAATCACTTAAGTACGTATCAGTGAGAACTCATATAGCTTAAACTTAAGCATGCACATACAATGTTTTGCTGAAGCACTACTCCAAATAACCATAGCAGCAGGGATCACCTGTATTCTGTGAGAGTTATCAGTGAAATATTATCTAGTATACCGGGCCTATTAAAATAAAGAATTAAAACAGGCTCATTCCAAGCTTATTGCTATTTCTAAATAACAGTCCCTTTCTGACAAATAACTAATTCTCTGAAAGTTCAAACTGGGTTTCAGAGGGTATTTTTATGCTTCATGTACATCTTTATCCATATCAAAGGTTTTCAGGAACAAATTCTGCTTCCTTTATTAGCACCACAACTTCTATTACCTCTGTACATGAATGGAATTTCCCCAGTTTTAAACCGGAAACAATTCTGTGGTTGAAGCAGGAGGATAAAGTAGTCAGTTCACATTCAGTCCAAAACTGGAAAAATGTGTTCCTTACCATCATTCAGGAGAACAGATATAATTTTTTTTTGAGTTCTCCTTTTGGGAGTAAAAAAATGTTACACATGAACATTTTTCTTTATAGTAGAATCACAATGGAGTAGATCAGTAGTACTCGTGATGTCAGGGCAACTGCCAAAATTTTCTGTACGTTGAAGCTTCAGTCCTTTCTACATGGTTGGTATTTTGTATTTTAACTATATAAAGCGTTTTGTTCAACCTCTTTTTCGTCTTGTGGGACCTTTAGGTTTACTTCTCAATCCCTTGGTTAGCACTTGAACTACACTTCCAAAACCTAACTCCAAAAGATCAAATAATATAAAGGTTGTGTTAAATCCAGTCTCTGAACCCATAAAGAAGCCAAAGTCCTGAGATACCTCACAAGATCTTTGTGCTCTCTGATAATACTCCCGTGAAAAAATGAAAAACTATTTCCTGTAGGCACTGTGCTGGAAAAGGAACATCATCGTTATCAGCTCCAGCTTCACACCGCAGTTCAGCTTCAGCTAAAAAGGCATGCCTTACCCTGGCTAACGTTTGCTTTAGAGCACCCCCCTGTAAAAACTGGGTCACTGGCTTCAACACATTAAAGTCTGTGGCTACACAAATCCCAATCAAGTACTCTGAGAATTTATTTTCATGGCATATTCATCTTTCTACAATAACAGTGCCTTAATGCAAGTTTAAAAACAGAAAAAATAGCTGCAAACAGGCAATGTTTAAATCATAAAGGCAGACGAAAAAGTGATGCTCAGATTCATACATATCCATATAAATGACCATTTACGTCATTAATCCTAGAATGGGAATACTGTATTGAATTGCTATGTTCGAGATTCCTATCTGGAATTACACTTTTATTCAAAATCGTGTTACAACTGAAACAATATCAAAGAACTATTTTCAAATTACCATGCCAGAACATGGTTTAAAGAATTCCATGTATCTAGATGGAGTGGGAAATTTAGACAGATAATCAGCACTGCGTATATGCAGCGTATGTGACAACTGCCTGTAGGATAAACTATACTTATGTTGCCGTATTGACAGCTTCAGCAGCACGACTCACACGACTATCTCTGTCACGAGGGCAGAGCTTTTGCACACTATTTACAGAAAGACAATCTCAGTATGTATTTGGTAAAGTCAAGAAAAACAATTTATTTCTGCTCTCTTATGAATCAATCACAACAGAAACATTTGTTTTATGCTGTGGAAGAGCTAAATAGCTATATAAAGACACTTAGCTGTCTTGCTTGTTGCAGGATATCAATGTCTTCACCGCAAAACCAAATTGCTAAAATATGCTATTTAAAATACTTTGTGAGAAATACCTGGGGGGAGGGGAAGTAACCAGGGCAACTAAGCTGTAGTCATACAGGATATGACAAGATGTGCAACTGGCGTTATGACACTTGCTGCAGCTCAGCGGAAGTCCTGTTAGACAAGTGGCAAGGAAGATTCATGCTTGCTCTGAAACAGACCTCTGGCAAAATCCATCTGCCATGGCATTGAGCTATAGAGAGCATAAATTAGAGCATCTTTCTAGCTGTTCTAACCTGTATTATGTGCCATTTCTGTCACAGGATAGCCCTCCCCTGAAAGACTGAAACAACAACTTATAGCCAACAGTGTGGAGATTAAATGAAGTACAACTGAAATTTGAGTCATTGTACATGCACTTGCCCAGGAGCAAAAGGAAGTTACAAGAATACGAAGATCGTAGGTGAAAATGGTCTACAGTTGCAG